CCATGGGTATCAACAAGTGAAGACCTTGAATTCAATTTCCTCCAAGCACAATAAAGACTAAAAAATAATAATTATTTTTTATTATTATTATTATTGTGTATATATGTGTGTATATATAGGTGTGTGTGTATATACGCACACACATGTATATGTCATGCAATGAAGTTTATCTCTTGAGTCCCAGTGCTGAGGTGGTTCATGATTCTTCAGTCCTTTGGTCATCAGGGAGAAGGTTGACCACAGTGCCAGTGAGAAAAGAGGCTGGAGTTTTATTGGTGTTACAGACAGTTCAGTTAAAAACTAGACCGGAGCCATTGCTATCTCTGATGTGGTTATCTGATAGCAAAAACTTCCTTCCTTTTTTCCTGTGTCCAAATAATCTCTTTGTTTTCACTCATTTCCTTCCTGAAATGAACTGTTTTCTATTTGCATGATAAATCTCTCACCGAACTGGGAGGAAAGATGCCCTCTGCACATTCTTACGGGTTTTATTTCATTATTTAGTTTCTGATCTTTCCATCTGAAATGGGTTTTGGCTTGTACTGTCATCTTTTGTTCTAGCATTGGCTTCTTCATCTGTCTTCTGCAGCTCTGCTTGCGGGCAGACGTGCAGCGTCAGTCGGCGCCAATAGCCAGGGCTCTGCTGGGGGTTTGCCAGGGGGTGACACAGTACAGAGCAGCCCCATTCCCCAGGAGCAGCGAGCTAGTGGTTCGCTCCAAATTGTTAGATTATTATACGGCACAGAATTGAAAGATGTTACTAAAATTGTCTTCACACTGCATCAGAAAAGACTAGGTGTTCTATACATTGTGTTTATACTCTTATGGCTGTGATTACAAATCGCATGTGTATTTTTGCATTGCTCAAATACCGCATTCAGAGCAAGAACTGTAGTGTGATAAATTCAAGGAAATCACAAGCAGATCATAGACTAGGTAAACGAGTCCATTAAAAGAAGCCATCCATGTAACATGCTTGTGTTATTTCATACTCAAATGGATTAAACTGACAATTGAGTTCTAAACAATACACTTTCTCTGATAGCTAGTTCCACATAGCCATCAGGGAGAAGCTTGTGGCACAAATCTCTGAAAGTGATAGTGTTTGCTCCTCTCTTAATGAGATTTGTTTTGAACTCAAGTTTTGACCTTTCTCCCCGGATGTGTAGGTCACGTCTCCTGCACTTTGCTCTCAGTCTCAAGTTGAGTTTTTCCAGCTGCTGCAATACATTCTTAAAGGGGTGTCAGCAATCAGTCCAATGCAAACCATAAATGTACAGTAGTAAACTAAGTATTGGGCTTTTCTGCTTGATGATGTGTAGTAATAATTTATACTGTCACTCCAGGATTCTTAGGACAGCTTGTGAGGGAGACTCTTAATCCATCTCCACATGGATTGCCATCAGATTTCAGATTTGTCTCTTTGTGCACTGTACAAATATTTTCCAATTTGGCTATGGCAGGGGAAGGTGGGATCCACCATTATCCTTCTTTGCGCTATCATAACCATAGAGCTGAAGAAACTTATTACATCTGGTCTATGCAATTATTTGTAAGACATCAGTGGAAGTCTAGGCATCGGGATTGCTCATTTCTGTTTTAGGCGTTTAGGAACTGAAAATCTCTTGTGCCTAAAGGTATCATAGCCCTAACCAGCACCACCCGTGCTTCAGGTCATCTGTTAAGACCCAGACTGAGATCTTTTGCTTTTGGTAAGAATTTTCCCTACCTAGATAAAGAATTAGATTTCTCTTGCTGTGATACACTTCTCTGTGTGGTCTTCTGGACAGTGGCACAGAGCCAGGCTACAGTAGAGTTTATTAAGCGGCTTTCTAGTTTGCCATATTGCTGCACCCTCTTCCAGTTGGAAAATGGGTGAGACAGGACTCTAACTTTAGCTATGTCAGGTTCTGTTCGTAGCTCTGCCTCAAGGGACCTTGAGCCACACTGGTGTTTCTGCCTGAAACTGTGGAATAGTTACCTTTCCAAAGTATGAAATGGTCCTTCACAGAAATAACTGGGGAGAGCACAGAGTTCTTAGTGTAGGGAGGGCAAGGCAGAAAATGAGCGATGGCAATCTCAGGTCCTGTTTGTGTCACGTACTGTCTAGTGTATTCTTGACTTGGCTAAAAGTCTTTGGTCAAGAGGTCATTTTTTGTTTTCTGGTGTTTTGGCTGCTTCCAAAATTAGTACAAAATCAGTACCTTTTCACGTCTTTTTGAA